AGTTTTACCAGAACTTGTATCACTTTAGTGTCTCTCCACCGCTATTCTGTTTTGATTTATTTCCAATCTAACAATTCATATACTTCTAATAAAATACAACAATATTCCAAGCCTGAGTATATAAATCCCCAAACCCAATAAGTCTAAATTAAAATCCAATGTCTAAATTATAATCCAATAATATTCCTAACTTGATTTTTTCTTTAAAATAAATCATATTCTAGAAATTAAAAGTGAACCAGTTTTTTTAAAAAATAAACTGTTACATTAGTAAGGGATGCACGCTTTTTCGGACTCTCGAAGTTGCCAGATTCAACTGGATGTTTCGCACTTTTACAACAAAAAAAACAGCAACCCTCACAAAGATAGCTTACATACATACCGCGAAAAATCAATGGCCCATTAAATTTAACGACCGAAAATTGATGGGAAAAACTTTTTAAAATTACCGATGTGTTGGTTCAACTAACTAGAGTACATTATTCGTTCAAAGGTTTAAAGCGTGTTTAGAAGAGCGACCGGCTTGTAAAATTGTTGAAAATACTTATTGGAAAATTCGAAGGTCTATTTGTAACGTTTTCGACAGTAAATGGATTAACTAAAAATAACCAGGGACTTTTCTTTTCAGAGGCGTTTAAATAGATGTTCCTTTATGAATTAGATATCCAATTCGTTGTCGCATTAAACAGGAATTACTAGGTATTTATAGAGGCCATGTACCGTAAGTTGGATTATGAAGTATTTGTAATAAAACGGAAAATTTTCTTCTAATAATGATTTCAAAGATATTTCTAGTAATCCATGAGACTATAACCGTTAGAGTCACAAGTAGACAGACAGGATTTTTGGGTTTCTGTTCTAATGCTTGAATTCTGATTCTAGATTAAAAACCACTTAAATTTTCATATTTAGCTTTTAAAGTTTACTTTTGTCTGATTTACGTCGTTAACTAAGTTTTAAACAGTTTTATTTTATGAGCAACAGATGGTAGCACTTTGATCAACCTGACAGCAAATTGCATATTATTTTTAAACGGAAGAGGAGTGAGTGTTTACTTGTCTATTATAGCTGTAGCAACAGCCTTGTGTATTACTTAGAAAATGACATCAAGAGAGTGTAAACAGAATGTTGATTCAATATGTTTTATTTGTGGTGAATGTATTAAAGTAAGATGCAACAAATTTGCTTTAGCAACTAAGTTGGGCAAATTTTTTGGTTAAACTAGCACGAGAGAGAAACAATATAAAAGAAAGACGTGAATATATTGCACTTGTATTAGTCTAGACCTTATGTAGATTGACTGACCTCGGCATACCCTGTCAAGGTTATGCCAACGATATAGTCATATTTGCTAGTGGCAAGTTTAGTAAAATCCTGTGTGATATAGTCCAACAAAGACTAGAACATACCAAAAGATCGTGCCGTGAAGTTGGGAAAAATAAAGTCAAATATCTAGGCCTAACCCTGGACAACAAACTTCTCTAGAACACACATGAGAAGGAAGTAGTAAATAAGGCCACAAAAGTCCTACTGGTATGCAGAAACATTGCAGGTAAACGATGAGGATGTAACCCAAACATACTGCAATGGATGTATACTGCAACAGTGAGACCAATCATCACTTACGGGGCTATAGCCTGGAGTAACAGAACCACTACTACGAGAGCTAATATCTCAAAAGAACAAAGACTAGCCTGTGTTTGTATTACTGGTGCAATAAGAACCTGTTCTACGTCCGCAATGAAGGTGATCTTAAACCTTACCCCTCTACATTTGATGATAGAGAACGTGGCAAATAGGACACAATATAGAATGATCAGGAACGGAGTAATCAGGCGAAAGTCTACTTGTTTCAGGACTAAAGATACCTAAGACATGCCCCAGGATGAAATGCTAAAAGAAGTACAGTTTTGTGAAAAACTTCAAAACCACAGAAAAACTTCAAAACCACAGAGCTGGGCTGCAAGAAAGAATGGACCCAAGAAGTCATCGCGCTTGCAACCGAAAGACATTCTATTCAGTGGTATATGGACGGTTCCAAAACCATAGAAGGAAGTGGAATAGGAGTGTATGGGCCGAGAACCAAGCACTCTGAAAGCTTGGTAAAATAACCAAGCATCTTCCAGGCGGAAATTCACGCCATCTTAAAGTGTAGTATCCAGTTTAACATCGAGAAAATTTATCATAGACAAGAGATTATCATCATGCATAGTCAAGCAGCTATCAAAGCGCTAAGCTCTTACGTAATCAGCTTAAAAATGGTCTGGAGATGCCTAGAACAATTGAATGAGCTAGGCGAGAAAAACAGAGTTACTCTCACTTGGGTCCCGGAACATAACGCGGTACAGAGTAACGAGATTGCAGATAGTCTTGCAAGGAAAGGGACTCAAACACCCTTTGTAGGACCTGAGCCGTTCTGCGGTATCAGCAGTAACTTAATATTAGGAGAGATTAAAAAAGAATTGGGCAGTAGAAGAACCAATAATTGGAACAATCTCTTGGGGCTGAGATAGGCCAACATACTTCTGGGTGAATATAACTAGAAAAGATCGAAAGCCTGCATCTGCCTGAGCAAGAACAGGCTACGTATTATAACAGGGATCCTTACCGGGCATTGCCGACTAAAAGGACACCTAGTAAATTGAGAGTAGTAGAGGATAGTGAGTGTAGATACTGCGAGGAAGAGGATGAAACCTCTATTCACATCCTAACTAAATATGTAGCACTCCAGAATCCAAGGACACTATATCTAGGAGAATATCAAATAAAAAAGGGAGATTTACCTTACCTGAAGCCACTTCAAATCCTACATTTCCTTGAGAAAATAGGATTGGAAGGGTCGTTATAGGCATTGAGATATTTCTTTATTGCATTGGCGACAGAAGGGGGCACAATAGATCTTTTAGGTCGCAGTGTATTAACACCTCATTCTCAACATAACACAACATAACATAGTCTAGACCTGCTGGCGGAAACTTCCCAAATCAGATTCCTAGCCCCGTCTCCGACTACAATGGAACGTAAAAAGCTAAGTTACCTTCTACTGGTGGAAAATAAAATGCTGGCAACCTATAACACCATTAAAAACTTTAAGTACAACACTGGATTACATTTAATGCATACCTTCTGACTGGCGGCTTTCTATAGATAGCTCTTTAATAAGCTTAAAAGCAGTTCTTCTTCACAACGCAAATCAATTCCCTAGTCTTCCCATAGCACATTCTGCAATGCTTAAGGAGAACGTTTTCATCAAGATGTGATGGACTTTGAACAACGTTAACCAGAGCAGTACAACGAAAATATCATGGAGATTACATTTGGACTCTAATACGACAAAGCCTACACAAACATAAGATAACTACTAAACATATTAATTTTTGAACTTGATTTTTTGTTATTCTCCATTTATATGACATTGTTTATCATAATTCTTAAATTAAACTGTTAACCGTAATTAAAAATAAAATAATTAAAAAAAAAAAAAATCAGTAATTTTTCTTAAAAATTCGAAAAATTATTCTAGTTTCTACAAAAGCAAAGTTTAATCAAAAAAAATATTTTTTTTTTATTTGTAACAGGAGAAACTGAAATTTTACATTAAGAAGTCAGGCCCAAAAATAGTGTCGACCGGTCAGAAATTCGAAAATTTTCGAAATTTTTTTTGTATTCGTCCACCATATTTTTAGAAATATATTGACTGCACCAGAAAGTGGAAAGTGGAAAAAAGTTTCTTCCGAAACATATGTAGTGATTAAATTATACAAAAAAAAAACTATTGACCGAATAAACCAAGCAACTTTTTATTTATATAAAATTATCCTTATTCATATTGTATTATCTTGCTATATAATTTAAAGACCATTATGTATACCTAGTTATGCTACTATTAATATAATTTAATTTAATTAAATTTAATAACAGTAATTCAACAAAAATTATAGGCATTACCTATTTGTATAAACCCGATAACTTTTTGTTATTCTATTGACTATTTTATTTATTTAAGCTAAAACACATTTTTATTAAATAAACATAATATGTACATTGTTAAAGTTCTCTCTTATAGTATTTTCATTCGTTTTTCTACATCCACGTGTACTGGAGGACAAAGTCGTTACGGTACAACTATTTCTGGCTGTCAAAATTTTGTCATCAGTATTTATTATATGCCTACATTTTTCTCGAAATTGTGTTTTGCAAAGAAGGATACTATGGCGCTGTTACTCAATAATTATTATAATTAGAATATATTATACCAAGAACAATTGAAGCTATTAGACAACAGATAATTCTATTATCATGGCGGCCATCAAAAATAGAGGTACTGAGAACTATATAAATTAGAAGTAATCCACATTTTGTTTTTGTAAAAAAGGCGTTAGAAAAACTTAAGCATGTCGGATCATTTCATTCTTCTTTTTTTTTAGTATCAGTTTGGATTTAATTCAGAGCTATGCATAGTTATCTAGGACATGACGTAACAGATATAGAGTACGAAGGTGAAAAAAGGTCCTTTATGACTCAATTTATTGTGAGACATAAAGGACCTGTTCACCTTCATACTCAACTCTCACACACGTCCTATTTTCCCGACATTTAATAATTTTTGTACTGACCTTGGGGTTTCTAGGATAATAATGATCCACTTTATATGATACTTTAAAATTTGCAGATTAGCGTGTTGCCACACGCAGGGTTCCTTTGAATTTATTTTATTTTACTTCTTATAATATAAAAAATTTGGGTTCTAATTAGCAGTGCTGTTCCTGAAGTGGCGCTGGGAAACAGTAACAAAGCCTACACAGAACACGAGGCTAATGATCTTAGCAGTCGATGTCGATGACACTAAATTAACAAAAAAACACACTTGATGACAAAAGCTGTCATTATGTTAGTTATAAATTTTAAACTTACTTACAAAATATAATTGAAAACGCATTGATAGAGGTCTATTGAGGTGGCGGATTCACATCTTTTCTTATTTTTAATTTTAATTTCAGGTACCCTATTTGCTGTATCGGATGGCATGACCTATGGTTGGACGTCTCCTATGATCCCATACCTAATCGGGCCTGATAGTCACATACAAACTACAAAACATGTAGCAGAATGGTTGGAAACCGCTCTACTATGCGGATCTTTAGCGGGTTTACCTTTAACTATTTACTCCGTCGATAAATACGGTAGAAAAAAGTCGTTATTATTTGCTTCAGTGGTGATTTTAATAGGATGGATGCTGATTGCTTTTGGAAACCATATGGGTTACCTATTTGCAGGAAGGTTGGTATAACATTAATCTAAATAAACCTTTGATTAAATAAACAATAGATATTCGTTTAGAATTTACCTTCAAGTCAATGACAAGGCCTTTAATTAAAAAGACTTAAAAGAATTCAATTAAATTAATTTGGGTGCCATACCTTTAGATGTACAATAAAAGTAAATTTGCCATTACCTTGTCAGTTGAAAGTAAGGAAAATAAAAGAACTTAAATCTCAAAACAATTAATCGGCTTTAATTTAAACTAAATTAGTTAATGAGTGATAGTTAACAATAAGAAAGAAAAATGAAATTTATTGATTTTAACAAATTTTACGGTTTACGTTATTTGACTAGATAATACGTTTAAAATTAAAATTGACTAGTATAACTTTGACTCAAAAATTGTGTGTGTGGTCCTGGCCGACACTTATCTTGTGTGTTTCCGGATTTCAACGGTCGAACTGGTCCGTGTCGCTCTCTTAACTGTAGGTCAGCCTATGATGACTTCAGACATATTCTGCAGTTCTAGATTAACTCAGCCTATGATGACTTCAGACATATTCTGCAGTTCTAGATGTAGCTCAGCCTATGATGACTTTAGACATATTCTGTATACTACGAGTTCTTAGTTATAAAGGCCAATTCCTTACTGTCTTTACAGAGCCAGTTCCTTAATTTTAAGAAAGAAAAAACGTGTCAGTTACAACAACAAAAAACGTATCTTTCCATTGCTTAAAAAAAAAACATGTGGTCAGCCAAAAAAGCTTACTATTTAAATTAAACATTTTTAAATTGAACATTTCAAGTTTACAATAATAGAGATTTGCGATAGTATTTAAATTAAAATACATGAAGAATGGAAAGATTTTTTTAAATAACTGAGAAAAAAATATATAAAATTAATGGCAGCCATTTTGTACATTGCATGGAACCTATATTACGCGGAAATCTCGAAAATAAATAAATGAAATAACTCACAGATAATTTCACCAGGATATACACATAATAAAATTAATTTCTACCATTTATTATAAAAAAAAAAAATTATGTTACCTTAGTTAGTTCGGAAACACTTAACAAAGCACTAAACAACTGATTCGTTTGGCTGCAGCATTCAAAAAGAAATTCAGAAACCGACCGCATGTGTGAAATGTGAAATGGCCACATCGAGAGATGACCAGGCGTGCGCACAACCTCTGACAGTAATTATTGATTTTTAGAGATGGCGCACCATTGGTTGAGCCATAGAATGTTTCATACAGAGATAATTTCCCCGAATTAACATAATATCCATATTTCCAAATACGAGGGGCACTCAAAAAGTATTAGAATATATTGGAATATTTGAACTAATTAAATATTGTAATTATTACAAGGGAGTGACGATTACAACGTAACAACGTACCGCAAACCCTGTTAACTTTTAAACTCTTCTACATCTTTTTATGATTAATAATTGAGTTAGTAAAGCAATTTCAGAAACATCTACCACATCTTTTTTCCAGTTTTAATGAATTGTGAAATCTTATGTTTATAATTAAATTTTCTGAATAAACGGATTTGTTTTAAAATTTCCAAATCTATGTTTATGGTAATGTCTATGTTAATGTTTAAAACAAAATCAGGATGACTAAATGTACCTTCGACAATTTTTCAACTTTTTTCCTCTTAATTTTATACACATCAACGTGATAGCTTTCGTAAATTATTTTTACCTACACCAATGGCAATCTAATTGGTATATAGACTTACACAAAATAGGTATTTATGCTTTAAAACATATTTAGGGGGCAGAAGGTAGGTGTGTTATTATTAAACGATTTGCTTATCCTGTTAAATTTTTTAATTCACAAGAGACACCTTCCATAAAGGCTTGTTTTTCTAGTTTTGATGGGGGTGTCTTGCCCACAGTCCTAACGAAATCTAATCTATAAAATCCTAACTCTTCATTTTTTCTTTACCATGATTGGCTCAACTGAAAGCGATAACCTTTAGTTTTATATATAGAAAATACTAATTTCATTCCTTTATGAATTGTAACTTTAAAATCCACAGACTGGTCTTGGACGAAAAATCAGAATTTGGCCTAAAACATTAGTCCATTACATATTTAAAGACTAACGTTTATTTGGTGATAAACGAAACATTTTCTAAACTATGTATAGTAAATACTTCAGTTAATATTTATGAAGATTATTAAATATATAGCCTTTGAATTACCTATATAAATTCATAAAAAAAATCCTCATGTATTCAATACTTGTTTTACTTTCAGGTTCTTGTGCGGTATGGCAGGCGACATGGCGTTTGTGGCTTGCCCAATGTATATGGCAGAAATATCGGACCCAAAAATCCGAGGTCTACTTTCAGGAATAATATACATCATGGTCCACATTGGAACATTAATAGTCTACTGCATAGGCCCGTTTACTCCTTTTTATGTCGCTCCGTTAATAGGATCCACAATGGTCATTATGGAATTAGCGGTCTTCTACTTTATGCCAGAATCACCTTACTTTCTTCTCTCCGTAGACAAGGAAAGGAAAGCCAGAGAAGCATTAGCTTTTTTCAAACCTTACAGCAATATCGACGATGAGGTTAACGAAATATCAACAATGTTAGAGAAACAAAAACAGGATAAAGGTCGAATACAAGACTTAATACTAGTGAAAAGTAACAGAAAAGCTATAACAATAATGGCAGTATTGAACACTGGGCAACATTTGTGCGCTTATACCGTCATATTGATGAACCTTCATATAATTCTAGAATCGGCAGGATCTATTTTTATAGAATCCTCTCACGCTGCTATAATATTTGCTTCCATAATGTTAGTATCTGCTGCGTATTCTTCCTTAAGGGTGGATAAATATGGAAGAAGAATTTTGCTAATGATCTCTTCGATTGTATCAGGATTATGTTTACTAGCTATAGCTGTTTATTTCCACCTGAAAGCTACAGGTGTGGATGTAACATCAGTTAGTTTTATACCAATAGTTTCAGTTATGGTATACGCTTGTTTCTTCAAGTTAGGTGTAGGAATAGTACCTATTATTGTCACAGCTGAAATTTTCCCTAGTAATATGAAAGCTATTGGAATGACCATGTCTGATGCTATGTTTATTTTTGGCGGATTAATAGCCATACAACTGTATCAAACTTTGTCACGAGCTTTCCATATTTTCGTACCGTTATACTTATTCGGATTTTATGCATTCTTCCTGACTTTCTTTACATACTTCTTTATACCGGAGACCAAAGGAAAGTCCTTAGATGAGATACAGAGTATGCTGAAAGGAGATAATGTTAAACTGAAAACGATAGAAAAATGTAAAGAAGCAGACACCACTCATATTTAATGCTATTTATTTGATTTTTTAAATTAATTTTCGTGCAACTTTAAAAATATGATCTCCGAAATTGTTTAGTATTAAAATTGCACAAAATTAAATTAAAAAAAAAAGATAAATAGACATAACAGAAGAAAAGCATAAATGTGCTGCGGTTTATTGTGATTAAATTTATTCGTACGTTTTCAGTATTTCAATAGTATGTTATAGAGCTTCTGTTGATGCATCCGACTTGCCTACAGGTTCCTAAAGAATTGATTGTTTTGGTACCTTTCCAAGACCTGTAAATGTTTGCTTGACTTGCAGTAGTCATTACGTTTACAAAATTGGTTGAAGTTTAGTCAAAAAAAAAAAAAAGGTTTGACTACTTCCGAAACGATTGTGTTGTTGTCGTACAATAACATCCTCTGTTTTTTAGATCATGCCTTCTAAAAAAATGTCTTTCTACATATCTGTAATCAGTTCCAACATTTCTTTTATTGTAGAATGTTTCGTAAAACGTCTTCTTTTATAGATTGCTTTCCAAAAAAGCCTTTTCAACGCTCTCTTATGGCACAATCTATTTAATGAGAACCACTAATACGGAATGAAGTCTTTACCACAACCATTTATTGATATTGATCTATAATTATATCAGCTTTGTTTTTATGGCTATGTCAGTAAGCTAGAAAGTAATAAATCTTTATCCAGGTGATGATGATTTTTATGCGGTTCATAATTGTAAGCAAATGTGCAGCACAGTTAAAAATTGTTGTAAAAATCTTCTGTTTCTGTAAAGTGGCGAATGCCTATCAATTTGTTAAAACTTGTCATGCAGATTATCACCAGTGTGGCGCAACTACGTACTTCAATAGTAAACGTGGGGTTTTTAATTTCCCATTAATTTTAATTACTAAATTAGCACATTCTAGATGTCATTAGATGTATTTTTATATAAAATACTGTACATTGTTGTTCAATATTGCATTGGAATATTTTTATTTAAAGTAGTATTTTTATTTTGTTATTATACAAAGCTGGAGGCTGCCTTAAAGTTTCTATAATATACAAGAAAAGTAAAAAATGTGAATTAGGTTTAAGACTAAACTACCGTCAATGTTTGATGTGTGAATAGGAATTTTCAGTAGTCTGTAAAAATATTAATGCTCAAGTGTACTAGTATGGAACTTACATTTTATTTTTAAACTTATTTCGTTTTTTTATGAAAATATTTATACAATTTAAGACCTATATTTACAAATTTTAAGTCATATTTGTGTAAAATTAGAACCTGTATTAAATATCTATAAGACTGTGATATTATGCAGCAATTTAAATGTTATAAATGTTCTTAAAAAGGAGTGCAACTCGAAATCAATACCACAAAATCAGTACTATTGTTAAAAAAAAGGTTTGAGTGCGACTAGTTTCGATCTTTTCAGGCCATCTTCTGGCCTATAATACAAAAATGTAACCAAATATTACTAGTAATGCCCAATTTTTGTATTATATAACTCAAAATGGCTTAGAGAAAAAGAAATTTGCCGCACTCAAAATTTTAACTCTGGAAATTATTTTGTTCGTATGTACATTGTATTTAGATCAACTGGTAGAACAACGCCAATGCAAATTATCTTAGAGGACAATGGACAGTATCAATAGATGGCAGCAAGCTCCCTGGTGTCCAAGTCATGTCTTTGATAATTTTGTCGTCTTCTACCGAGCCATGGAACGGTTGTCGAAACTGAATCACGGACGTAATTTCTCTATTTACTAATAGATGAAACGATAATCGATTCAGAATATTTGTTTTAAAATTTTGGCAGTCCACCCAAATATGTATATAAAATTCTATACTCAATGATGGAGGGAGCGCCTAGCACACGAGCCATTTTGATGAAGTGCTGTACAGTTCTAACAGATGGCGCGACTGAATTGCCTCCAGCAAAACGTCCATAGGGTTGATATACTAGGATATCTAAATACAATGGTATGTATATGTGTCAAGCTTTGGTTCAAGGTCAAAAGATACTGGTGTCGCTACTGAGTGACGAAAAACATATAGATAGGATTATTCAGTAGGTATGCCAATGAAAGCAAGATGCCCAGTGGATAGCTCATTTCCCGTCACAGATGTAGCGTATATCGAACGAATAATTCATGCGTCAATAAAACAAATGATTCATTTGAAAAGATCTATCTATTTGAATTAGGGCGTGGTTCAAAGCCCACTCGTACTAAAGCTCTAGGCTTATTGTACCCCTCTCAGTTTCTATTCCATCAGATTGATTTTCTTGGTGAATTCAAGAATATGTCTGATGGGCGATTTCGCGATTTCTTCAGATTCCTCGAAGTAGCATTCCCGTTCCCATTTAAGGTTCCGACAGTGGCATAGTATGTGAATTGTGAATAGGAGTTTCGTTCTCTTCTTTACATATTCTACATAGGGAGTCATTAAATATCCCTATGAGATTTAGGTGTCTTCTAAGGCCGCAGTGTCCCGTAAGGAGTCATATTACTGCCTTGAGTTCGCTTTTGCTAAGGTTTAGCAGTTGATTTTGTCTGCTCGTGGATGGCCCCTCTATGAATCTTTTGGACTGTCTAAGTCCAGAAAGTTTCAACCAGGGCTTATGGTGTTTATACCTTTAACACCCATTTAATATATTGGTATGAGATACCACATGTAAATTCTGGTCCAATAAGAGTTTTTTCCGCTCCCTTTCTTGCTAGGAGGTCTGTTTTCTCGTTTCCAAACACTTCCTCATGTCCCGTCATCCATTCAAGGGTGGTAATGTTATGTTCTGCCAGGGCCTAGAGGAAATGTTGGCAATCAAGTATTGATTTAGATTGTACTTCTACCATTTTTACTGCTTTAAGGGCTGCCTGACTGTCTGTCATGATAAAGATCCTCTTATCTCTAAAAGAGTCATTTAGCATGACATTGGCGCAGGCATTTATAGCTATTACTTCAGCCTAGAAGACTGTTATCAGTAACTCCAGGTTCAGACTACTGGGCCTCCATGAGTTTACATGTTAGATCCCAGCTCCTGTACTGTTTTTCATTTTCGAATCGTCTGTATACCATATTGATTCGTTTTGTTTTTCCATATTTTCCCGGCTTTTGGCCCGTTCTGGTATTTGAATATTAAAAGGTTTCCTGAAGTCGTGAATAATGGGCGTTCTATCCGATGGCATTCTTAGTACCGGATTTGGTTTTATTTTTTTTTATCATTGTGTGGTGTCCTTTTCTCGAAAGTTCCCATCCAAATCCATTAGTAAACAGCCTGTATGACGCCCCATAGCCTCCTTCTGTAGTGGAGGAAGATCTATCAGTAGCTCCATTACTGCTGCTAAATCCCCTATTATTATTATTCTTTGTATCTTGTAATTTTCTGTCAGCTGTTATGCTTTTAGTCTTGTGCCACCATATGACTGATGAGTAAGTTTTAACAGGTACTACAACCATAGTGTAAAGCCAGTGCATCATACTTGGTTTGAGCACCCATATGTTCCTTACCATCCGTCTACAGGTCCATAGTATTCTTACAGCGTTTTCTGTTATTTTTTCTATATTGCTGCAGAAGCTAAGCTTGTCATCAAGAGTGATTCCAAGATATTTAACCTCTTTTGCCATTTTTAGATGTTGTCCCCATATATAAATCTCCTTCATTCCTGGAAGGTTCCTGAAAGATACGTTCTAAATACATTTTAGCGACCAGGACATTTGTGAATTTTTGTGATTTTTTTTAATAATATATATTTTGTCGTATTGATTTCAAAATTCATTATTTCTTTTAAAATATCTATATGTAAGCCACAAGTTGTAATCGCATTATAAATTAAATAATTTTTAATTTATCAACGACTGAGAAAAATTGCTATAAATAATAACAAGTTGTGTTTTTTCTTTGTAAAATAAATATCGTACAAAGAGAAATAAGAAGATATTAAAAAAGAAAAAATTATGAAAGACGAACAACAAAAAGTGTAAAAATTAAATAAAAGTATTTCTGAAAGAATAATATTTTACAATTGTTAAAAACCCGTTATACTCGTGTATTTATACATTAATGTTCGTATTTATAAAAAATAAATTTTTATACAAAAATTGGTTTCTTTTTATTTCATTATTAACTCGTAACCTATTAAAATTATTGTTATTCGAATAAAAATACTTGATTTTTATTGAAAACCAAGACTAAATAAGATATAATGCTATTTTAAATAAAAAACATATTCAATGTTTAGTAATCCAAAAGAAAGAAATGTAAAATGTGTTATCTCACCTGCAGCATTTAAAGGATTATTGTATATCCATTTAAATATTATCAAAAAAAAGGGAAAGAAGAGGAAACTATTTTTAAGAGCCGTCAGTATTTTAATAATTATAAAATAATCATTAAAGAATTGACTTGAATTACTTTTGTTACAATAACTATCATTATTGAGGTAGTATTGTAGGGAGACGCGATTACGTGGTCAAAAACGGCATCAGTCCGCCATATTGATGCCACACTTACGTCAAATAGCTATCGTTTTATTGTGTTTTCATTAATGTGATTTGTATGATTAAGTTTTCGTATTTTTATTTGCTTTCTGTGTGGCATTTAAATAATATAGTAAAAGATAATAATGGTTTCATGTACTCTTCGTAACTGCAATAGCAGGAATGCAATTCATGAAAATAAATTGACAGGAATAACACTTCCTGGGTTAGTATCACTATACAAAATATTTACAATAAACAGGGTAGTATTTGAAAAATTTCTTTTTATATTTTGCTTATTTTAATAGTTTCTGGGTTAACCACATCTTACGGTAATTGTTTCATATACTTACAGTTTTTTGTTATTATTGTTTAGATATTCCTTTTTATGCTTATTCACGTTTTAAATTTTACCAATAAAACAGAAAATGGACAGGAAACTGTTAAATATTTTAGCTAACATATAAAACCCAAAACTGTTTTCCTTTCAGACCATGGAAGTCATCCCTAGTCTCTCTCCCTTGATATTTACATCAAGGAGGTTAGTCTGATGACAATTACATGCCATCTGCACTGTTAGAATAGAACCTGTTTTGGCATCTGGTGAGGCGAGATGTCGCTTCTGGCAGGAGGCGCTCGATACGCTCCTACTACTTCAAGTAAACTTGACTCTATCTCATCAAGATATATATTCTAGTCATATATAACAGAACAAGTGTATGAGTCAAAAGTAGCAGATACCTTCAGTTCTAAAACAAAACAAGGCTCAAGATGTAGAATTACTGTTCCTTAAACCTAAACATAAAATAAGTTGTGATTAGTAGTGCCAGTGTAGTTCAAACCGAGCTCACGGATTTTCTCGTCGCAGTAAATCACCAGAAATAATATCACTGAAAGAAACATGCTCATCTATACAGATAACATACAAGCACTACTTGCCCTAGACAGACCACGGATTTGTTCAGGGTTGATACTAGAATATCACGAGGCTTTGGCCAAAGTATCCATCGAGAATATGGTCTACTTAAGATGGATAAAAGATCACGTTACATCAAAAGGCAACCGTCTCTCTTATTCACTAGCCAAGAAGGCAACCAATTAAATTCTTTTTTGGACCTGGCCCTTTTATTGGACTGACAACATCGATTAAATCTTAAATTTCATTCAGAGAGTTTAAAATTGTTTTTAGTATAACGGGCTTTATAGAGCCGCTATAACCTCTAATTATACATACTATACATACTCCTACATACATTTCAAGTACATCCGGTCATTAAGGTAGCTGAACTTATTATTATTTTTTCTACACCCACATGGATATTAGCTTATCTACGCACAGATTACAAAACGAAAAAGTATGCTATTGCCTTCAACTGAACGAATATATTTTATATACATTCTAGATAGTGAAAACACTGCAAAAAAATTAAATCCACCAATCACCGTTCATATTTTGATCAAACGACTGCTATTATTTTTAAAATTTAAAATAAGTGACAATTCTGTCAAACTATTTGTCAGTATATTTTTAGTTATTGAGATTAAACATATATTGGAATGGGTTATTCTTGTGTAGAATCGATAAATAATAGCATTTTTGTTTTTGTTTCGTCTATAATTATAAATAATTTATTAATTTAAATAAAACTATATGAAGTCAATTTAATTACGAGTATTTAAACAACAAAAATAAAAGAAATGGTGGTCTTGTGGTTGGTGTTCTTGCCTTTCACAGTGAAGACTCGAGTTAGATTCTCGAATGGGGAAAAATTAAATGATCTTTCTTTTCTTTTTTTTTGCTTATTTTATTTTAAAAATTATTAAAAGTCATAAATTATTTTAAAATTAGTTAGTTTGTCTTAATAACCTAAAATATTTTTTTTTATTTGTAAATTTTCGTTAGTGGATCGTAAAAAATATTCTGTATAACTCGAGTGGATTGTCCACATTGCACTTAGACGATTGAGCACTCCGCCTACTACGTCGTGCTAAAATTTTGTCTTCGTGCGATAATGCCATCATATCCACTATTTTTCACGAATATTAAATTCAATATTCCAAATGAACATAACACCTAATCCATTGTCCAAAAAATCTCGTATGATAATTTTAATTTTAGAGTTAGAGATAACCTTGTTACATTAGGTTATTTATACTAAATTATACAATAATTATTATCTAAGACGATAAAACTTTTACTGCGCTTATTAAAATTACCCCCATGACTCTAGTAAAGAATCTAACAAACATGTTTTTGTTGGAACAGTGAGATTTTACTCATGTTAATGTTGCAAAGGTCGTAATGTATTACTAACATATTTGCACATTCTTTTTTGGGATTTATAGAAGTTTATGAATAATGATAACAATGATTATGTGTACGTATTTTTGCAAAAGATAACAGTTTATAGTCTAGGAGTTTATTAATAAAAAGCTGTTATTACTATAATTGAATATGTACGATATTTTTTAATTACTTGAAATTAATTACTATATTTATTTGTTTTTTATTATAATTACTAGAAAATAAATTATGTTGAATATACTTAAAAATAAACAAACGATGAAACACTTGGAAAATTTGATTTTTCTTGTAAATCCTCTAGTTCGTTTTCCCTTAATGATATTTCATTAAAAGATCCTCGAGTTCAACCAGAACTGTTTGACATTCTTGACCGATTCTAAACCTTTATATTAGTATTTACTGCATACATAGAAAAGATGTGTAGACAAGTTAATATTAACCCAAGATTACACTTTTTACAAAATGTCCTTTGAAGAGACTGCCCCTCAGATAATTTTTTCTGTCTTGAGCTATCTACAATTAAGTTTGGTCAAAAAAGTGCACCCTATCTTGCATGCAGTGTGTTGAAAGAGATTGCTCTTAGAAACCCTCAGCATGCTTCAGCTCAAAAAGGTTTATAGGCCCACACATATGTAGATGATATTTTCACAGGAGCAAATTCGGAAAAGGAACTATATCAGTTACAAATCACCCTTATATATATATTTTATCTCAGACAGGATTTCATTTGCATAAATTTCGTTCCCATCTTCCTAATTTTCAAGTCTCTTTTCTTTCAACTCAAACGAATGAAAAATACTTAAATTTTGATAAAAATCCCCACAAATTATTAGGTTTAAAGTGGACTCTACAAATTTCCACTCCAAACTCCCTTTTCGTAGAACCTCTTACCAAAAGAAAACTGCTATCTTTAATTGCCCAGTCTTATGACCCATTAGGATTGATTTATCCCGCCATATTACAGGGTAAATTGTTAATGCAAAAACTTTGGCTTGCAAAACAACCTTGGGAATCACCTATTTCAGACCGTTATGTAATAAACAAATGGACTGCTTATAATAAAAACATTTCTAAACTCTCTTCTATATCTGTTTCTTATTTACCAAATTTACCAAAGCAACTCTTGTATACAGGTTGATTACTTTTTCTTGTTAAAAAGTGCATTTTTAACATACCCTTTGGTCCAAAGATTGTAATAGACGTTGCTATCATTCCCATTCTGTTAGAGGTTAGTTTCAACTTAAAGTATTTAAACTTGATCGATTATATTTTAATTTTAGAGTAAATGAAATACCTCATTTAGAATTCACTCTATATAATTTTATCGTTTTTATATAATAAATATTTACAAAATCATGAACATTTTAATAAGGGGAAAAAATAATAGATGTTTTATGATTGATTATACCTAATTAAATGTCTTGTTTATCTAAAGATAAATCATATTTACGTTAAATAATAAATATGTAAAGTTTTGATGAGTTTGTTGGAATAATAATAAAAACAACGCATATAATAAATGAAAATAGGCTGTCGAACCGCTGTGAAAATAAAACAAAAACGTAAAAAATGGATAGGTATATTGAAAAAACTTGTATTGTGTCAGATAAAATAATGTAAACATGACAAGGAAGTAAATTGAGTGATTTTCTTTTAAAAACTATGCAGTAAAAGATCCTATTTACGTAGGGATAATGTTAAGGTAGAATACGATTACAATAAAATGAACAACATAACCATTATCTCGAATTTTATTAGTTTTTATCAATAAATAACAAAAAGTGAGTTGTTTAATTAAAAAAAAAAAATTCTATTTGCCTATAATATTAATATGCCCCCAGTAATCATACTTAACAAATAATAGAAAACAGAAAACTAAAATACAAAATAACAACAGCCTCAATCAAATAGTCTCAAGTCCTGTACCTCAGGGAACAGTATTGGGGCCTCTACTTTTCATAGTCATGAACCTGGACAATCTCTTTTAGTTAAAAGTAAAGGAAATATTATTAGTGTTGCAGAGGATACAGTAATGCATTACGAAGCTACTGACTGAAATAATTTGAAACAATTTATAGAGGAGGATTTTGCCAAAATAAAAACATGGTTTGACTATCGATTACTATCTATATATTTTTAAAAAAACAGTAACTATACCTACCTTTTAGCAGTTTAGCCTCCTGTTTTCCTCAATTTTAAAATATCGCTATCGGGAATGAATTAAATATTTAGGTATAATGATAGATAGCCACTTGCGCCTAGCTTT